ATAAAAAAAAAATACTTTATTTAAAAACTTTAAACATGAATATATACTCGAAAATGATTTAATACTTTTTTTTTTTGTGCAATAATATATAATAAGTATCATGCTACTTAAATAATATTTCAAAAACTTCATATTCTCAACTGAAAAAAAAATTTCTCGCAAGCCTTGAACGCAAGACACATATAAGGAAGTATAAATTCACCAGGGCGAATTGGAATAGGATATGATGCATTATATCTGCAAAAACATTTTTTCTCGGTATTCACATTACCCATTAAATGTAATGAATCTCCAAAGACAAACATGAATCATTAGGATAATTATAAATAGCGTAACCAAATTTCTTTACTATCCTATTTAAAATGGAATTTTCCATATTTTCATTTTCAATAAAAATACAAAACTACTTTGTGTATTTTTATATTGATTATGATTATTATAATCCTATTCAAGAAGATTATACCCTCCAAGAATTTCTACAGTACCTTCGACTTTTAAAACAATAACTGTATTTGATATTTGATCACAAATATTATAAATAGTACTAACATCAAACCCGTCTCTAGATCCTCTAAAAAGTAATTTAAATTCATATGGATCATTTTGTGTATATGGGATTTCTTTTTTATCAATCCATGATGAATTCTCTAAAGCATGCTCATCCGTAATAATTTGAGAAGATAAAGGAATTGATGCATTTATAGTTGTAATTTTTCGAGGTGGTAACACAATTGAAACAATCCTGTTAGGTGCTATGAGCCTTGTATTAATATCCAACCAAAGTTGATTTTCAAGAAGTTGTAGGTATGGATAAAGTTTGTCTAATAAATCTTCCACTGAAATGTAAAAATATCTAATGGTGGGAGACATTTTTTTAAAGTTTCCTTCAAGGTTAAGAAATTATCGTTTGTCCATTCATCAAGATCAGTTGATAAAGTTGGATTTTTCGCTTTACCCCATTGAATTACGTATTCTATTTTCAGACTTTACTTTCCTCGAATTGCGAGTCATCTCGTATCAAAACAGAGATTAATGCATCCTCAAGAAGAGTATAAAAAATTGTCGAAACCAAAAACAGTGCTAGGATGTTTAACAATAATTTTATTTTAAAATTTTGGATGATTCTTAGGTTTTTGACTTGATAACTTGTCAGGTGTATTTTTAGCAAAATTTGACTTTAACCATGAAGTATCATTATTAGCAAGATGAATTTGAAGCTGTTTAACTAATTTATCCAATTCGAATTCATTGAATGTGATTAAAAGGTCAAAAATAATAGAAATTTCTAATTTTTCCAACGAAATTATTCCACTATAGCTATATCTAAATAATGTGTGAAATTTATTATTCTTCATCTTATTAAGAATTAATATTTTTTATATAAAAAATATAAAACCTACTTGATAATGATATTGAATAATTTGATAGTCATAATCTGGCATCGTTAATGCTTTAACATGAGTTTCGTTGAATTTCTTTTTAAAGTAAGGACTACGAGATAGTAAAATATATGAATGAACATTAAAAAATTTGATTATTAGGGGCTTCACCAACTTCAATAGTGACATTATAATCAATAGGGTCTTCAAGAAGTTGAGTAAGGTCGGTTGATAAACGGGTAAAAATTTTTTTAATCAATTTTTGCAAATTAAAAAAAAAATCAAATCGTTAATTGGTTTTATATTTGTTTTATTTGTACCACAAAGACATGAAACTCGAATAAAGATTCCTATGTAAAAATAAAAAAGATCTAGCTTATTTACTTTAAGTACTACATAATTTATAATTGATATAATTTAATTTATTAATATTATATAATCAATTTTAAACAAAAAAAAAATAAAGCAAAAATACTATTTTCAATTGTTGACAAAAATTCAAAAAGTTCGAATGTGAATTCAAAATTAGCTATTTTTTTCCATGAAAGTCATCATTTATCAAAAATGTGGAATTTAATAATTTCCACTGAAAATCAAAATATTAATTCCATAAATGAAGTTTAAAAGAGAATTAGAGAAGATTCAGTGCACAATTATATTTTAAAATTAAATAATAGTCAAATTCCTAACCTCTAATTGCTAATTTTATAAAAGTTTAACCGTACTATTTTAATACCAAAATAAAAGAAGATAATAAAAAAGATTATGGGATCAAAACGTAACGTATTCTCAAAAAAAGTAATTAATTAAATTATGACCATTTTTTTTTAAAAAAAAATTAAACTGAAAATTATGATATAAAATAATAAGTTAGCCTGAATAGACGATATTAAAAGTAAACCAAAATCACTATCATCACCTCTTGTAGTCCAAAATAAACAATACTAATTATAATTAAAATGTTGCATAAATATAAAAGATACTAAAATTACTTTTACTGAAGATTTGTAACCTCGTATCCTTCAACTGAAAATGCTGATTCAACAGAATGAATTAGTTTTTCATAAATGAATTGCTGCAATAACATCGTTTCTCGGTTTTTAAATTACCATTTGAACTTAAAGGCAACTGCGAAGAATCTAAACAATTAACAATGAAATCACGAAAGCGCTTTACCTACGTAAAACGGAAACTACCTTGCGTCTTTTTCTTATGATTATCCCACTCGAGATGATTATACCCTCCAAGAATTTCTCCTGTTCCTTCCATTTTTAAAACAATAATTTTATTTGATACTTGATCACAAATATTATAAATAGTTCTAACATCAAATCCATCTCTAGATCTTCTAACAAGTAATTAGAAATCATATGGATTGTTTTCTGTATATGAGATTTCCTTTTTACCGATCAATAAAACCGTGATAAAGCTTGCTCTTCAGCAATGATTTGGGAAGATAAATGAATGGTATATTTCTAGTTGGGAGGTTTTTGGTTAGGATTTTTCGAGGTGGTAAAATAATTAAAGAGATTTGTCTATGAATTTAGTTTTAATATCAAACCATAGCTTTTTCCCTATCAGCAAATTCTTGAACCCAAGCTTATCCAACACATCTTCGTGAGAAAAACTGAAATATCTAACGTGTCGGAGGCATTGCTTCAAAGTTTGCTTCAAGGTAACGAAATTATCACTTGTCCATTCTTCAATATTAGTGGGCAGAGTTGTATTTTTAGCTTTACCCCATTGAATTACGTATTCCCAAACTTTACCTTCGTCCAATTGTAAATCATCTTGTTTAATAATAGAAATTAATGCATCTTCGGGAAGGGTAAGAAATTTTTCGGATTCAAAAATAGTGTTAGGATGTTTGGCAATAATATCATTACAAAGTCTTGAATAGTCTTGAAGTTTTTGATTTGATAACTTGTTTGGTAAACCCGAGCAAAATTTAACCTTAACCATGAAGCATTATTGTTAACGAGATGAGTTTGGGTATATTCAACTAATTCATCAGTTCAAGTTCATTAGATGTAATTAAGAGGTCAAAATAATAGAATTTTCTAATTTTTCTAATGAAATAATTCCACCATAGAGGTATCTAAATAATATATAGAATGTTATTTTTATTAATTTATTAATTAATATTTAATATTTTTATAAAAAAATAAAAAATTAAATACTAAATAACACTTACTTGATAATGGTGCCAAATACTTTGACTGAAATATCTTGCAAATTTAGTACTTTAACATGTTCGTCGTTAAAAGGAGTTTCGTTGAATTTCTTTTTAAAGTAAGGACTCGGTATTGTAAAATATATGAATGAACTTTAAAAATTTGAATATTAGGTGCTTCACCAAATTCAATTGTGACATCAAAATTAACTCCGTTTTCAAGAAGTTGAGTAAGGTCATTGGATAAACGGTCAAAAAATTTGGTGGTGGTCATTTTTCGGTTATTAAAAATTCAAAATTCAAAATTCAAAATTTGCACATTTATTTGTGTTCGTAGGTATCAATGGAGAAGACCGAAAAATGCTCAATAATGCAACTCTGTGTAACGGTTTCTGTCATTAAGAGTTTATTTATTTAATTTAATATACCTAATCTCGCGGAATAATATATATTCAGATTGTCAACATATGTTTTTCGTTTTCACGTTATGCATGTAATACATGCATGTCATGTTACGTTACATGATTGATCAAGAAGTTCAACCAGATATACACATATCACATATATAGTAACAAACAGCTTTTGAAATTAAATGTACTGTTTAATTTATATATATGCTATGCTATTATATTTATGCATATAAATTGTTATTATAAATTAACAATTAAAAATTAAAAATTAAAAATATAAATTATTATTATTAAATTAACAGTTAAAATATTTATCCACATTACGTAATCATACATATATTAAAATGAATTATAAATAAACAGAAATAACTTAGAAAAAGTATAATTAGATATGTATCATCACATTAAAATAATAAAGAATAAGTTTAAAGAAATTTTAATAATAATAAAATGAATGGATGAATAAGAGAATAATTACTATATTTACGTAAGAATTAGGATTATCACAAATTATTTCATAATATGAAATTGTCAATTGTGAAAATCACAATATTTTAACTCGGGAAATTCGGGAATTTTATGGAAATTTGGATTTTTGGATTATCATTTAAACCTCATGTAACTAGTTAAACTAGGTAATTTTTTATTGTATATATAAGTGATCCTTTTTTTTTTTGTAAACCTTATAATTCTTGTCTTGTAATTCTTGTTGGGAGAGAATTAATACATAAATGTAAAAATAAAAATCATTATACCATTATCGTCATTATCATTACCACCATTAACTCCATTATCGTTATTATTGCCAGCCATAATCAATGTTATCGAGAAGGGATTTTATTTAACCACATAAAAATACTAAAAAAATTCATTTATACTATTGGCACAAAAAATTCCCACAAACACAAACGCAACACAAAGAAAAAACAAAAAACATTTATACATTAATAACAAATAAACGACATAGACCAATTAAATTTCTTGATTCCTTGATCAAAAAAAAAAAATATAAATATCTATCAAAAAAATTTTATCAAAATGAAAAAGTCACCGAGTTTAACTTTTCTAAAACATAATATTATCAATTTCAACAACAATAATAATAGTAATAATCATAATAATCATCATAATAATAAAAGTAATAATAAAAGTAATAATAATAATAATATAAAATCCAATAAAGAAGATAAAAATCTTTCTATAAAATTAGTGAATACAATCTCAAAAATTCCTTTCGTTCCAAAAAATTTGGGAACGACTAAAATGGGTAGTAATAATAATTATAGTAATGATAATAATATAGAAGAGACAACAACGACGACATCATCATCATCATCATCATCATCGATATCGTCCAATTTAATCAAGGATAATAACAATAATTATAATAATCATAATAATAATAATAATAATAATAATAATAATAATAATAGTAATAATAAATCGGTATATAATAATAATAATAATAATAATCAAAATCAAATTCATTATTATTCATCAGAAGAAGAATTAGAAAAAATTTATACTAATATTAATCAACCCACTATACGAAATGATGCTGTTGCATTGTCGTTAAATCAAGATGATATCGTGACACCCGGTAAATATTATAAATTATTAGTAATATATTAAATATATTATTAAATATATTATTATAATATATGATTATAATATAAAAGATCATTTCATTATAATGATTTTATTTATTTTATTTTAGATATTTCAAAAGTGCTTATAATATATACAGGCGGAACTATAGGAATGAAAAATAACAATAAACATGGTTATTTACCAGTATGTATTATATAATATTATTATCATCTAATATAATTTAATTTAATTGAATTAATTTGATTTAATTTGATTTAATTGAATTAATTTAATTAATTAAATTTAAAATTTAGGAACCAAATTATTTTACAGATACACTTGCATCTATGTCAAGATTTCATGATCATAATTTTAATAAACATTTGCATCGATTATCTAAAGATCAATCAGATTTCACTGAAGAGGATGATGATAATCAAGTACTTATGAATAAAGTTTCTGTTACTGGATCAACCGGACCTCGAAATATGTTTAGACGTTGTTTAATAACTCCTCTTTCTTTACAAGGAAAGAGAATAAGGTTTTTATTATTATTATTGATTGATTGATTGATTGATTGTTGGATATATTATTATTATTATTATTATTAATTGGTTGAATCTATTATATTAATCGTAATTGATTGAATATTAATTGATTATTAGATATTCGGTTGTAGAATATGAACCTTTATTAGATTCATGTAATATTTCTAGCGAAGGTTAGTTATTACTAATTATTATAATTCATTATCATTATAATAATCATAATTATTATTTATCATCAGAATTATTATTATCATCATCATTATCCTTATATATGTACTAGATTGGGTACGTATCGCCGTAGATATTGAACTAAATTATGAAGCATATGATGCATTTATAATTCTACATGGTATTATTATTATTATTCTTATCATTATCATAATTATTATTACTTTTTCTTCTACTTTTGATCGTGATGATGATGATGATTATTATTATTTTTATTATTCATTATATAGGAACGGATACAATGTCTTATACTGCTAGTGCTCTCAGCTTTTTATTAGAAAATTTAGGGTTGGTAAATTATTATTCGTTGATTTTTTTTATTATATTATTTATATTATATATCGTAAATTATAATATAAATTATTTAAATATTATATATTATATATACAGTAAAACTGTAATTCTAACTGGTTCACAGGTATTGTTTAAAAAATAAAGTAAAAATTTATAATTGTTGATTTTTTAATCGTTTAATTTTTAATTCGAAAATATTTATCGATAATTAGGTTCCAATATCGGAAGTTCGAAATGATGCAGTAGAAAATTTGTTAGGAGCACTTACCATTGCTGGGCATTATGTCATACCTGAAGTTTGTTTATTTTTTAATAATAAATTATTTCGAGGTAATAGATCAGTTAAGATGAATGCTCTTGAATTTAATGCTTTTGATTCTCCGAATTTGGTTCCATTGGCGGTAGTTGGAATAAATATTGGTAATGTATCTCTACATTCCATATTTTCATTATTATTTATTATTATTATTATTATTATTCATATATATCATTATAATTTATATAGATGTAAATTGGGCAGAAATAGTTCGACCTTCAGCACTAAAGTTTAGAGCTCACAAAACTTTAAATAGAAATGTTAGTAGTTTAAGATTATTCCCTGGTATCACGGATTCTACCGTAAAAGCATTATTGGCTCCACCTATAGAAGGTGTCATATTAGAAACTTATGGAGCGGGTAATGCTCCTGATACTAGAGATGATCTTATGAGAGTATTGGCTGAAGCTTGTGGTCGAGGTGTTGTAATAGTAAATTGTTCTCAATGTAAGAGGGGTATGGTAACCGAACTTTATGCTACTGGAAAAGCTTTAGCTAGAGTTGGAGCTGTTCCTGGAAATGATATGACTCCTGAGGTATATTCTATTTCGATAAAATTAATTTATAATTTATTATTATTATTATTATTATTATTATTATTATTATATTTATTATCATTATTATTATATTTATTATCATAATATTAATTATTATTATTATTATTATTATTATTATTAATTATATTATATTATTTATTATTAATTTTAATTATTCGTTATTATTTTTATCAGTGCGCATTGGTAAAACTCTCTTATTTATTAAGTAAAAAAGAGAATGATACACGTTATTCACCTAAAGTAGTAAGAGAACTAATGACCAAAAATCTTCGAGGTGAACTTACCGTTTTGGCTCCTAAACCTAGATACTCATTTCATAATCGTACTCATAAAATAATTCAAAATATGATTGGTACGTTTATATTTATTATTATAGTACTTTTTATATTTCGATTTTATTGATATTTAATTAATTATTTATTTTTATTTCTTATTTATTTTATTTTATTTTTATTTTTTTAGAATTGGCAATTGATGCTAAACGAGGGATAATAGGATCAGGAGATAATTCAGATATAACAGCAGCGGACATAACATCTGATTCCGCATTAATGATAAACATTCAAGAAAATATATTATTAGAAAAATCCATTTATCCAATTTTATTATGCTCAGCTGCTGGAACTGATGATTTGGAAGGAATGTTATTATTATTTGAAACTTATGAAGGTTTAATTTTGAATTGTGTTGATTATGATGGAAGAACTCCTTTGGTAAATAATAATTAATAAATTTATTATTATAATAATTATATTCAATTATATTAATTTTATTATTTTAATAATTATATTCAATTATATTAATTATATTCAATCATATTCTATTCAATTCTATTTAATTTTATAATTTAGCATATCGCGTGTTCAGCGGGTCATCATAGAATTGTTAAATTCTTATTACAAAAAGGTGCCTCAGTTCACATGAGAGATATATTTGGTCATACTCCTTTATTTGAAGCTGCAAGAAATAAACATAAAAATGTTATTAAATTATTACGTGAGACTGGTGCTCATTTTAACGATGCTGAAATTGATGATGTTATGTTTCAAGTTTTTTCGTAAGTATTATTATTATTATTATTATTATTGTTATTCTCTTTTATCTATTTCTTTATTTTTTCATTTGTTCTTTATTCTTTTATATTTATTTCACAATTTTTTTAACTTTTTTTTTTTTTTAAAAAAAAAAAATAAAAATATAAAGTGCATCTGCGAAAGGTGATGTAGAATTACTTCAACATTTTATAACCGCTGGTATGGATATAAATCGTACCGGTTTTGATCATCGTACCGCACTTCATCATGCTGTAGCGGAGGGTAGAGTGAATGTGGTAAAATATTTATTATCATTACCCGAAATTAATTTTGAAACTAAAGATCGTTGGAGTCGTAAACCTATTGATGATGCAGAAATGAATTTAGGTAGAATGTGGGGAAGGGATAATGATCGAGAAAAAGAATTAAGAGAAATTGTTGGATTGTTAAGAGAACGAGAAGATTGTAATTTTATTAATAATTTTAATAGTAAAAATAATATTTATGGTAATAATAATATTAATCGTAATAGTAATAGTAATAATAATATTAATGTTAATGGTAATAGTAATAATAATATTAATGGTAATAGTAATAATATCATTATTATTAATGATAATAATGGTAGTAATGGTAGTAATATTTAATGGAAATTATAATATTGAAGAAAAGGTAAGCAACAAGAGATATATATAAAATGATAGAGACGAGAGAATTAGTGATAGAATAGACAGTATATAAATTTATATAAACATTTATTATTTGAAATATAAAAATATAAACTTCAATGAGACTTTATTTTTTTTTTTATTTATTCAATTAAATTAACGAAACTGGAATCTTGTTTCAATGTATTATTGATAATGAAAGAAATTTTGAATTATCTGGATAAATTGGCTGTACGAGCAAATAAAAAATGAATTTTCAACGTATTATTTATGATACAACAATCTCCTTTATACATATAAGTATAATAAATATAATAATAATTTATGAATATTTAAAACAATAAAAACTAGCATTTATTTTAAATTATTTCAATCATCTCTTTTGGAAACTTTAAAAATTTCATATTCTTCAACATTAAATGTACTTTTGTCAGAAGAAGTCGGATTAAAACCTGAACTCAAAAACTCAGCAGGACGAATCGGTTTTTCATACCATTCGTTATCTCCGCAATAGCATTTTTTACTAGTTTTCAAATTATTCTTTAAAATTAATGAAAAACCAAATGAAAAAAATTCACTCGAATTCCAAATTCCACAAGTAACGTTCTTTACCCTGCTTAAAATAGAATTTTTTAGATTTGCAGTTTTCAATGAAAATGAAAAACTATCTTGTGCCGTTTTCCAACCATGATAATTTTTATCCCACTCAAGGGGATTATATCCTCCAAGAATTTCTCCTGTTCCTTCTACTTTTAAAATAATAACTGTGTTTGAAACTTTATCACAAATTCTATAAATGGTCTTAACATCAAAGCCATCTCTACTTCCTTTAATAAGTAATTCAAATTCATATGGGTCGTTTTCTGTATATGGGATTTCTTGTTTATCAATCCATGATGAAATTTCTAATGCATATTCATCAGTGATAATCTGAGTTAGAAATGTTTTAGTAAAGATTTTTCGAGGTGGCAATATTGTAGAAGAGATTTGTCTGTCAGGTGCTATGAATTTAGTATTAATATCTAACCATAGTTTAGGTTCAAAAATTTGTTGATACGGAAAAAGCTTATCCAACACATCTATATTAGAAATGTTGAAATATCTAACGTGTGGAAGACATTTCTTCAAAGTATTCTTCAAGGTTATGAAATTCTCACTTGTCCATTCTGCCAGATTAGTTGGTAAAGTTGGATTTTTTGCTTTACCCCATTGAATTACGTATTCCCAGACTTTACTTTCTTCTAATTGCAAGTCATCTCGTATTAGAATAGCGTTTAATGCACTCTCAGGAATAGAATGAAAATCATCAGATTCAAAGATAGTGTTAGGATGTTTGGCAATAATATCATTACAAACGTCTTGAATAATTTTAAGGTTTTTGACCTGATAACTTGTCTTGTAAACTTGAACAAAGTTAAGTCTTAACCATGAAGCATTATTGTTGACAAGATGAGTTTGGAGATGTTCAACTAACTCATCTAGCTCGAGTTCATTAGATGTAATTAAAAGGTCAAAAATAAATGAAATTTCTAATTTTTCCAACAAAATTATTCCACCATAAATGTATCTAGATTGTATAAAAAAATATCAATTTTATTTTCTCTTAAGATTTAATATTTTAACAAAATACTAAATAACACTTACTTGATAATAATGTTAAATATTTTGACGGAAATATCGGATATCGTTAGTGCTTTGACATGATCGTCATTAAAAGGAGTTTCTTTTTAAAGTAAGGACTACGAGATTGTAAAATATATGAATGAATTTTAAAAATTTGATTATTGGGTGCTTCACCGACTTCAATTGATACATTATAATCAATAGGGTCCTCAAGAAGTTGAGTAAGGTCATTTGATAAACGGGCAAAAAATTTAGTAGTCATTACTTCGTAAATTAAAATTACTTGGCTTCAATTTTTAACCTTTAATAAAACATTTAATTGTTTTTATTTGTGCCACAAAGACAAAATAAGATAAGCAGATTTGCTAATGTATAAATAACCGATTGCATTATTAAAGTATGTACTTAAAATAGAATTTTTCCGATTGTAGTTTTCGCAAAACTATTTTGAGAAATAACATTCCATAAAAATGTTGCATGAATGATCACTCTAAAACGGTTAGTCTCAAATTCTACAAATTATTATTATTATTTTATTCCACGAGAGTATTATACCCTCCAAGAATTTCTTCAGCTCCTTTCAATTTTTAAAATAATAACTGTGTTCGAACATTTGTCACAAATATTATATGTTTTTAATTATTAATTTTTATCCATTGGTTGTTAATTGGTAACAAGAATTATGTTCTAATTTCAGAAGTTCGAAATGATTTAGTAGAAAATTTATTAAGGGAACATACTGTACATTGCTGGACATCATGTCATGTCATACCTGAAGTTTGTTTATTTTTATTTTTAATAATAAATTATTTCGAGGTAATAGATCAGATCAATTAAGGTGAATTTAATGCTTTTGACGATAGTTGGAATAAATATCAGTAATGTACTGTATCTCTACATTCCATATTTTCATTATCATTTTTTTTTTCTTCTTTTCATTTTAATATCATATTATTATAGTTTATATAGATGTAAATTGGTCGGAAATAGTTTGACCCTCAGCACTAAAATTTACCCCGGCATCACGGATTCTATCGTAAGAGAATTGTTGGCTTCACCTATAGAGAATGTATATTTATATTAGAAACTTAAGGAGCGGGTAAGTGTTCCTAATACGAGAGATGATCTTATCAATCCATGATCAAATTTCTAAGGAATGCAACATTAAAATGTTTAAGATTTTTCGAAGTTGCAAAATAATTGTCTGTTACCATGAATTTGGTATAATATCTAACCATAGTTTAAATTCAAAAATTTCTTAATACGGGAAAGCTTATCTAACACATCTTTACTAGAAATATTGAAATATCTTTCAAAGTTTTCTTCAAGGTTATGAAATTATCGCTTGTCCATTCTGCCAGATTAGTTGATAAAGTAGGATTTTTTAGTTTTCTCCATTGAATTACGTATTCCCGCGATCTACCTTCCTCTGATTACATTAGAATAGAGATTAATGCATCCTCGAGAGAGAATAAAAATTGTCAAATTCAAAAATGATATTAGGACATTTGGCAATGATATCATTACAAAAGTCTTTAATAATCATGAAGTTTTTGACTTGATAAATTGTCTAATAAACCCTAGCAAAGTTTAACCTTAATCACGAAGCATTGCTGTTAACAAAATTCATCTGGTTCAAGTCTATTAGATGAGATTAAAAAGGTCAAAGATGATTCCTATTAAGAATTAATATTTTTTATAAAAAAAAAATGTTAAGTACTTTGACAGATTGACAGAAGTATCGGACATCATTAATACCTTGACATGATCGTCAAAAGGAATTTTTTCGTTGAATTTCTTTTTACTACAGGATTGTAAAATGTTAAAAATTTAATTATTAGGTCTTCGCCAATTTCAATTGATTCATTATAATCAATATGGTTGCGTAAAGTCGTTTAACAAATGGTCAAAAATTTAGTAATCATTTTCGTAAATAATTATTGAACGTTAAAATTGAATATTTATTTGTGATACAAAGACATAAAATAGATAATATTATTTAATAAAATTAAAAATTATTTTAATGATAGAATTTAAGTACAATGTAAAAATATAAATATTATAATATTGGAAATTTGCTATTTTATTCGAATTTCTTAAGTCAAAATTTATTGGATTTGAAAATGTTTAATCTAAAGTTGAATCTGGAATAATCGTTTTATCTTCGGATTTGATTCACTTTGTTTCCTTTGTTTACGTTTTCTTCCAAGGTCAACTTGTTTTAATTGGACTACTGGATAAGAATTATGTGATGATGATGAATATCTTCTTGGTGATGGTTGTATCTCATCATAATTTACATTATATTCATCATAATGACCATTTTTATGTTTCAGTTTTTTAAGATCTGAATTGTATCTACGTAATCTAAATCCAGATAGATAATGTCTACTGATAGTTTGTTCCAAGAACCAAAGTTTTTCATCAACTATTTTATTAATTTTCTTTGTAATTTCTTTATCAGTAAGCTCATTAAGTCTTCCTTCCCATAAATAGCACCGTTACCACCAACGTCAATATCTCCGAATGCTAGTGTTAGAACGAGTTGTTGGCGATCCCGTAATAGAAAAATAAAATGGCGAAGTTGCAGAACTTTGTTCCGAATAATAATGTAGTTGTTGCTTGACGTTCCAAATCGCTACCTTTGTTTTTACCATTATTTTTATCGTTATTATTATTATTGATATTTTTATTGTAATTTCTACTATTATTCTCATTATTCTTATAATTATTATCATTACTATTGTTATCCTTTTCATAACCATCAAGAGAGTTTTCATCTTTAATATTATAAAAAGGTATATAGGTGAATTACGTAAAGTATATCGTTGAACTAATCCTCAAGATTCATATTTTCCTCGACCAAATAATATTATCCATAATGCTATGGCGTAAGTAAGATTTCCACCTGATGCAGCGATTATATCGTAAATTGTGTATCGTGGCTTTTCCACGTATTTTATAGACTGTAAATAGCAAGAAATTAATAATTATTTCATAATTTAAATAATAATATAAATCATAATATAATAATTAACGATAATATACCAAATAAGTATCAGGTGAATAAAGAAACCTTGCAGCAATAGAACCATTCGCAAAAGTCATAGGATGGTAATTTTGTGTATTAACAGTAAAATACAAATATTCCTTGTTATTTTGATCTTTTCTTTCTGTTAAAGTAAAAGTATAAGTATTTACTGAAGGTATTCCAGCATTAAATGGTTCTACCACATTACGTGGCCTAATATCATCAAATACTCCAAATAATAATCCGTTTTCAGCTTTTGATTGATTTCCATCAACCAATACAACTATAATAAGTTGACCAACAATTTCTGGTATGAATTTATAATCTTTATTAGAATTATTAAAATAAAAACATGGCGAAGTTCCCGTAGTTAAAGTCCAATCTCCCGAAGTCAATGAATTCGTGTCAGTTTTACTTATATATGAATCGGGAAGTTGAGTAGCTTTATCAGTTGTTGTGGTACCATTTCCTAAGGTTCTTCTTCGTTCTACTATAATACTAGTAAGATTTTGGGAAAACACAAAACTATTCCAAATAGGAATTCCGGTAGTAGTTAAATTATTCATGGACATTGAAACCAGATTGTACTATCTTAAATACTATCATATTATTGAAATAAAAATAAAAAGCGTAAAATGAATTCTGAATGACTAATATTATTTGATTTCATATTCATGATTTTATTAAATATATCAAATATTCTTTATCTTCACTTGTTATATACCACCACAAGAATGAATTAAAAATTAATGGATCAAAGAGAAGTGATAATGGTGTTAGCGACAACGCAATGAATTTAAATATATTTCGAAAAACGTGATATTGTAAAAGTAAGCAATTCTGACCAAAATTTGATATTGCCGAATTTATTTCATTTGATATTGATTTATATATTAGATGCCTTCGCTACGCTATTATTTTATTGACACATATTTATTTTCATATATTGCATTGCTTTGCGTTATGTTAAAACTTCATTCACGAATATTCTTCTTAAACATATATTATTATTTTTATTATTTTTATTATTTTGATAATAATAATTAACTAACTTCATAATAAATTCTCAATTTGCACGTCCAGCTTAATTAGATAAAAATACTTTATTCAATAAAAGTTTATTTATAACAATAAAATAAAAGCAACTTAATGCCTACTACGGTGAACCCTTTATAAATGCACTCTCTATAAGTGCATCCCTCTATAAATGCATCCTATACTCCAGTCCCGTCCACTAATAACACTTATAAAATTTCCCTCTATAAATGCATTCCTTCTTTAAATGCACCCTAATGCAGGGGTGCATTATTATTGCACAAAAAAGAATACATGCCATGCCACTTAAATATTTATTGATTAAACTTTAAAAATTTATTTTTCAAGCTTTGGAATTATCTAGAATTCATCTCGCAGTTTTAATGAAAATGTAAAACTATCTTGAGTATTCTTCCAACCATTATTATGACTATTGTCCCACTAAAGGATTAAATTCTCCAAGAATTTACCAGGCAACTTCTCACTTTTAAACCAATAACTGTATTTGAAACTTGATCACAAATTTTATTAATAGTCTTAACATCAAACCCATCTCTACTTCCTCTTTAAATTCATATCGATCATTTTCAATATAAGGGTTTCTTTTCTATCGATCAGGATGAAATTTCCAATACATGTTCATTAGTGATAATTTGAGAAGATAAACAAAATTGGTTGGAAGTATGTTTTAGCCAAGACCTTACGAGGTGGTTAAGAGGTTGTGAAATTAGCTTGGTATTAATATCTAACCAAGGTTTGTGTTCAAAAAGTTGCTGGTATGGATAAAAGTTTTTCTAATACATCGTCAGATGTGTGGAGACATTTTTTCAAAGTTTCCTTCAAGGTTAAATCATCACGTGTGTATTAGATATTGAATGAACTTTGTAAAAGAAGCTCTTCCACTACTTTCAAAATGTCGTTTTCATAAAATTGAGTTGCCATTTTTTTTACAAAAGAGAAAATGTTTAAAAAGCATATTTCTCTGTGTTATGCATAAGTCCTAACGAATTAAACTGAATTATTTTGTGTACGTTTCAGTTAATACTAACTTCCTGACTTGTATGTTTAAATGACATTATCGATTGTGAAGACTTTTACTTTAGGAACAAATTTTTTGTAGTGTAGTACAGCTTATTGAACAGGATCAGGATACTAAATCCAATAAATTTATTAAAAAATAATAATTTGAAGACCAGATTGAAAATTTATATTTATAAGATTTATTGTTTTTATAGTCAGCTTTACTAATTCAAAATACCAATCATATAAATATTGCAAATGACGCTTAGCACATCCATGAATTTATTGTTGCTTTAATAATGTCTTCCTCAGGATTAGGTTACATTCTTGAAGAAAATAAAATAAATAATGTAAATTTTTTTTAAGTCATCAGAAGTTATTATTATATAATTTTATATGTCAATCAAATCAATTATATTTGCGTAATAAAATATAATAAAATGCGTAGTAAATGACAACAAAAAATGAATTTGAAAAATGTGGGGAAGAGATAGTGATAGAGAATAAGAATTGAGAGAAATTATTGAGAGAAAAAGTAATAATAGTATTAGTATTTCTTTTAATTATCAGAACTTTCTTCATTGTGATTTCCTAGAAGTTTTTAAATCAGAAGTTGTTGAGTTGAAACTGGAACAGACGATTTTGAGAGATTTCGAGAGATTCGAAACTATCACTTTATTTCCTTTGTTTAAATTTACGTTTTCTTTCAAGATCAATTTGACTTTTTAAACTACTGGATAAGAATAAGATTATAATGATAACCTTCTCTTTGATGGTTTTATTTCATCATCATAATTATGCTGATGTTTATTTTCGTCTTCTGAATTATTTTTCAAATTATCATTTTTTATATTCCTCTTTACATCATCATCACAAAAACCATTTTTATGTTTCAGTTTTCTAAGATCTGAATCAAATCTACGTAATCTGAATCCAGAAAGATAATGTCTACTTATAGTTTGTTCTAAGAACCAAAGTTTTTCATCAACTATTTTATTAATTTTCTTAGTAATTTCTTTATCGGTAAGCTCTCCCATACTATCAATATTTTCAAATGTTATTGGTGTAGCACTTTTGCGATAAAATGTAGAAGTTGCAGAATCTGGTTCTAAATGATGTGAATGTTGTTGTTGTTGAAGTTGAGGTTGATGAGATGGTACAGGACGACGCAATGAAAATGCAGAAAGCTCAATTTGACTTTCCAAATCAAGCCCTTCATTCTTATTTTTATCATTATTCTTATCACTGTCACTATTATTGTCATTATTCTTACCACAATCATTATTCCTGTCATCATCATTACTGTCAAGGAAAAGTTTTTCTTTGCTTCTATAATAAGGTATTTTTAATAATCGATCGGTATCATCTTTTTTATGGACATCAGGTGAATTACGCAAAATAAATCGTTGAACTAATCCCCAAGATTTATATTTTCCTCGACCAAATAATATTATCCATAATGCTATAGCATAGGTAAGATTACCACCAGTTGCACTAATTATATCATAAATTGTGTATTGTGGTTTTTCTACGTATTTTACGGCCTATAAATAGCAAGAGACAAATAATTAACAACAACATAATAATTAATATAATAATTAATATAAAAACTAACGATAATATACCAAATATGTATCAGGTGAATAAAGAAATCTTGCAGCAACAGAATTATTTTGAAAAGTAATAGGATGATAATTTTGTTTATTAACAGTAAAATACGAATATTCCTTGTTATTTACATCAACTCTTTCTGTTAAAGTAAAAGTATAAGTGTTTATTGAAGGGATTTCAGCAGTAAATGGTTCTACCACATTAATTGGTCTGATATCATCAAATATCCCAAATATGATGCCTGTATCTCGTGATTGATTTCCGTTAACATATGCAGTTATAATAAGTTGATCTACGATTCCTGATATGAATTTATAATCTCTATTAAAATTATTAAAAACATAACATGGCCAAGTTCCTGTGGTCAAAGTCCAATCTCCCGTAGTTAATGAATTAGTATTAGTTGTACTTATATATAAGTCGGAAAGCAGAGTAACTTTATCAGTTGTTTCGGTACCGTTCCCTATATTTATTCCCCGTTTAAGTGTTTCTACTGTAATTCCAGTAAGATTTTGGGAACACATAAAACTGTTCCAAATAGGAATTCCGGTAGTAGTTAAATTATTCATAGACAATAAAATTAAAGGTTCAGCTTGTATTACTCCAAATACTAACAATATTTCATCCATCGGTAACCATAATAGTATTCCAATAAAAATTAAAATTGTCATAAAACGTAATAAGCGTTCTCGTCGATTTTTTATTCTAAATTTTTTATCTAGATTCATGATATCTGTTTTGATATTCTTTACTTTCTATTATAAGAAAAAATACTAGAATTAGAAAATTAAACTAGTTGAATCAAAGGATTAAAGAATTAAAGGGAAGCAATGATGGCGAAATAAACGTATAACTTATACTGTCAATAACAGTAATATCACGTGTACAGATTCTGACTAATGAATTGATTTTAGTAAACCCCTTATAATTAAATTCAAAAATAAAGTTTTATACTACAAATTTCTATTATCGGATACAAGTTAGCTAGCTATCTTTGGAAGTGTAATAGATTTTTTACCATTGATATTTGCTATAAAAACATCAATGAATATGTATGTCTTCACGTCGATTACTATCATGTCATTTGTATTGATATTTCTAATAAATAACTGCGAGAAGCACCCTCACATTAAACACTTTAAAAAAATAATAATATTGTGATTATAAGAATATGTATTTTCTTTGATTATATAAAAAACTGTGCGAAATACCTGGACTTTACGCGTGAAATTTAGTTAATATGTAATAAAATATTATAAAATGCAGGTAGAGGACGCAGCAGAAATGAGAAAAATTGCTGAATTGTCGAGAGAGAGATATAGTAATAATTATCATATTCTTTGTAATTATCCCTACATTCCTTATAATAAATTCATTTGTAGTTGCCTAACAACAGTTGAATTTGTTTGATCAGAGATTGAAGTTGTTGGATCAGAAGTTGTTGAAATCAGAAGTTGAAATTTGATCTTCAAGATTTTGGGTTCAATTTGTTTAAGTATACGTTTTCTTTCAATATTAACTGGTCTTATTTTGACTACTGGATAAGAATGAGATGATGATGACAAACTTCTTGGTAATAATTTTATATCATGATTATTTTTTTTCTTCTAAATTATTCTCCAAATTATTATTTTTTATATTATCCTCATAATAACTACCTTTATGTTTCAGTTTTCTAAGATCTGAATCGTGCCTACGTGATAAAGATAATGTCTAATCATAGTTTGTTCCAAGAACCAAAGTTTTTCATCAACTGTTTTATGGCTTTTCTTGGTAATTTCTTTATCAGTAAGCTCACCGAGTTCTATAGAAGCTGCAGAATTTGATTCTGAATGATCTGAATAATGTTGTTGTTGAAGTTGAGATGGTGGTTGTTGAGGTTGATGAGATTGTGTAATAGTAGGGAGCAGTGGAAATGTGGAAAGCGCAATGTGACTTTCCAAATCAATCCCTTTATTCTTATTTTTATCATTATTTTTATCATTATTCTTGTCATTATCATTATTCTCGTCGTTATTATCATCAAGGAAAAGTTTTTCTTTACTACTATAATAAAGTATGTTTAATAATCGATCGGTATCATCTTTCTTATGGGTATCAGATGAATAATGTAAAATATATCGTTGAAATAATCCCCAAGATTTATATTTCCTCGACCAAATAATATTATCCATAATGTTATGTTATAGGTGAGACACCACCGGGTGCGCCAATTAGATCAAAAAATTGTGTATTGTGGTTTTCCAACGTATTTTACAGCTTATAAATAGCAAGAGACAAATATTTTAACAATGTAATAAATAATATAATAATTAACCAAAAAAGTATCAGGTGAATAAAGAAACCTTGCAGCAATAGAACCATTCGCAAAAGTCACAGGATGATAATTTTGTTAATTAACAATAAAAACAAATGGTCCTTGTTATTTACATCAACTCTTTCTGTTAAAGTAAAAGTATAAGAAGGGATCCCAACAGTAAATGGTATTCTCTCTCTAATTCAGTTAGTTGTAATTGATTTCCATAAAAATATGAAGTTATAATAAATTGATCAATAGTTCCTGGTATGAATTTATTATCTTTATTAGAATTAGTATCAGTTTTATTAGTTGTTGATATACCATTTCCTATATTTTTTGAACATATAAAACAAATACTATCAACATTTCATCCATAATGAAAATTAGAATTTCTATAAAACGTAATAAGAATTCTCGACGATTTTTATTCTAAATTTTTTATCCAGTTTCGTGATTATCTGTTTAGATAGTCTTTACTTGCTATCATATTATAAGAAAAATACCAGAGTTATAGAATTAATCAGGTGAATCAAATAATTAAAGAATAAAAGGAATAATCGTGTCAATATCAATAACAATAAATAACAATAATATCACGTCGTGAAATATAAAAATAAACAAATGTTTTCTAATGTTAGGATACTGACTAATAAAGAGTTGATTTTAGTAAACCCCTCACAATTTAATTCAAAATTCAAAAATAAAGTTTTTTGCTACAAATTTTCTATTATTGGATACAAAAGTTAGTTATCTTCGGTAAGCGTAAATAATTGCCAAGATTTTACATATCTGTTAAATACTCATATTTTCTACAAATCCAATAAAATTATTTCCATTGAAAAAAAAAATTTTGAAATAAGACCAGATTGAACAAAATTATATTGCTATAAAAACGTCCATGAATATGTTTGTTTTATAATGTGTATTGACGCAACGTATTTCTAATAAATAACTACGAGAAGCACCCTCACATTATACACTTTAAAAAATAATAATTTCGTATTATTACAATATTTATTTTCTTTTATTATATAAAAAACTGTGTGAAATTTAGTTAATATATAATAAATATATAATAAAATATTATAAAATGCAGGTAGGGGAACGCAGCAGAAATTAATTTGACAGAAGAGAATAATAATTGAAAAAAATTGTTGAATTGTCAAGAGATAGCAATAATAGTATCACATTCTTTGTAATTATCACTAACATTCCTTATAATATATTCATTGTAGTTGCCTAACAGCAACTGAATTTGTTTGATCAGAAGTTGAAATTGTTTGATCAGAAGTTGAAGTTGTTTGATCAGAAGTTGAAGTTGTTTGATCAGAAGTTGAAGTTGTTGGATCAGAAGTTGTTAGATAAGAAATTGTTGGATCAGAAGTCGAAATTTGATCTTCAAGATTTTGGGAATTTTTGAGATTATTTTTAGGTTCAATTTGTTTAAGTCTACGTTTTCTTTCAATATTAACTGGTCTTATTTTGACTACTGGATAAGAATGAGGTGATGATGACAGATTCCTTGGTGATAATTTTATATCATTATTATCTTTTTCTTCTAAATTATTCTCCGAGTTATTATTTTTTATTTTATTCTTTGCATTATATTCATAATCATCATCATCCTCATAATAACTACCATTATGTTTCAATTTTCTAAGATCCGAATCGTACCTACGTAATCTAAATCCAGAAAGATAATGTCTACTCATAGTTTGTTCCAGGAACCAAAGTTTTTCATCAACTATTTTATTAATTTTCTTGGTAATTTCTTTATCAGTAAGCTCACCGAGTTCTTCTATGATAATACCACCACCACCATTCCCACAAGACGTTGGCGTTCCCGTAGTATTAAAATAAAATGTAGAAGCTGCAGAATTTGGTGCTGAATGATCTGAATAATGTTGTTGTTGTTGAGGTTGATGACATTGTGTAATAGTAGGGAGCAGTGGAAATGTAGAAAGCGCAATGTGACTTTCCAGATCAATCTCTTTATTCTTATTTTTACCATTATTTTTATCATTATTCTTGTTTTTATCATTATTCTCGTCGTTACCATTATCATCACCATCAAGGAAAGGTTTTTCTTTACTATCATAATAAGGTATGTTTAATAACCGATCGGTATCATCTTTCTTATGGGCATCAGGTGAATTCTGTAAAATATATCGTTGAACAATTCCCCAAGATTTATATTTTCCTCGACCAAATAATATTATCCAAAATGCTATGGCGTAGGTAAGATTACCACCAGTTGCACTAATTAGATCATTAATTGTGTATTGTGGTGTTTCTACGTATTTTACAGCCTATAAATAGCAAGAGACAATAATTAACATAATAATAATTAATATAATAATTAAATATAATGAATAAAATAATAATTAATATAATGAATAATATAATAATTAATATAATGAATAATATAAATCATAATATAATAATTAAACGATAATATACCAAATAAGTATCAGGTGAATAAAGAAACCTTGCAGCAATAGAACCATTTTGAAAAGTAATAGAATGATAATTTTGTTTATTAACAGTAAAATACAAATGTTCTTTTTTATTTACATCAACTCTTTCTGTTAAAGTAAAAGTATAAGTATTTATTGAAGGGATTCCAGCATTAAATGGTTCTATCACATTAAGTGGTCTAATATCATCAAATACTCCAAATAATAATCCATTATCAACTTTTGATTGATTTCCATCAACCAATGCCACTATAATAAGTTGATCAACAATTCCTGGTATGAATTTATAATCTTTATTAGAATTATTAAAATAAAAACATGGCCAAATTCCTGTCATTAAAGTCCAATCTCCCGTAGTTAATGCATTAGTATCGGTTCTACTTATATATGAATCGGGAAGTAGAGTAGCTTCGTCATCTGTTTCGGTACCATTCCCTTTATTTCCTCCTCGTTTAAGTGTTTCTACTGTAATTCCAGTAAGATTTTGGGAACATATAAAACCACTCCAAATAGGAAATCCAGTTGTAGTTAAATTATCTATGGACATTGACACTAAAGGTTCGGCTTGTATTGCCCCAGAAATTATCAATATTTTATTTATTGATAACCATAATAGTACTCCAATAAAAATTAAAATCGCTATCAAACGTAATAAGAATTCTCGATTTTCTATATTAAATTTTTTAACTAAATGATGCGTGATCATGATTATGATATTCTTGATCGTCCAAAAAAAAAAAATACCAGGGAGAGCATCAAACTACGAATTAATATACGATCTTGGAAAAACTGGTTATACTGTATATAGATTAAACTTCATCTTATCTTGATCTTACGTAAAGATGACATAAATGATAAATTTATAAAGCAGAAAATATCTTTTTTAAGACAGTAACAATTAATAATCTTTACTATAAAAATATATATCCAAGATGAGCTAAAAAATAGCTCATTGTTGATTTGCCAAAAATGTGTATAACTGATAAAGGAAAAAGTCGTGATTCGTCAAAAAGGTTTTTCATAATTTCAAAGACGGAATAGGTGGGAAGTTATAGATCTCATGTACACCGAATTAAGATAAAAATAAATTATTATCCAACTAAATAATTTTAAAGTCTTCAAATTCATTCCGAGTATACAGAAATTTAATTAATATTAATTAATTGATATTAATTTTAAATGTAATTTGACAAAATTCGAGAATCATATTCAATTAATGGAATAACACCCAAAGAACTTCACTATCAAAAAGAATTCAAGAAAGACGAACAAGTAAGAAGTGTTAAGCCAACAGCAATACCTTTAACCTCGAATTCAATTTAATTTCTAATACAACAATATTAAATTTTTTATATGGTATAGATACAGTTTAATAAATAAATAATACTAAAGTCGATAGAAATAATATATAATTAAAAATAATTTCAGTATATATAAATTTCTATCCACGGCCACGTTTACTAATTGATAATTTTTCACATAATATAAAATTACGTGAGATTTTCAATCATATTATTTTCATAGCCAATTTAGTATTAATTAATAAGCGACAAATAAATTATCGTTCTTTGCAAATTAGTGCATCATGTGATGTAACTTACTTTGTCTTTCATACTAAACATTATTGCATTTATATACTGATTACAAAAACGATTACAAGCAGCCTTTTCTTATTTGGTTAAAAAGGTTTTATATAATTTTTATATTATCTTTAACGTATATAAGATACATTTTTAATTAAGTAAATCTTTGAAATCAAGTTATTTCACTATTTAAAAAACGATAAATATTTAAGAAAATCTTCGATCACGTGCATCTATTTGAACAATATACAGTAGATAATTATAATTAACAATAAAATATAAATGTAACTTCTACTATTTAATTTAACAAATGTGACGCATAGATCAGATATACTACTGCATCCCGTTGTATATATATTTAATATAAACAGACTTATAATGTTAAACTACTTCATAAAAAAAATCTGTTAATAGTTAATACTTTACATTCTTAAATTGCCAAACTATATTACAACTATTATCCTCAAAATAATCTTTCTTTTTGTTATAATCATTTTTTTTCAGTTTTTTAAGATCTGAATAATATATATGTTATCTAAATCCAGAAATATAATGTCTACTCATAATTTGTTCCAAGAACCAAAGTTTTTTATCAACTATTTTATTAATTTTCTTGGTAATTTCTTTATCAGTATGCTCATTGAATTTTCCTATGCCAATAACGCCACAATTTCCATAAAATGTTGGTGTTCCTATAGTATTAAAATAAAATATAGAAGTTGCAGAATTTGGCTCTGAATGATCTTAATGTTGTTGTTGTCGAAGTTGAGGTGGTGGAGGTTGGTTGATGAGATTGGGTGATAGTAGAAGGCAGTGAAAATGTGGTAAGCGCAATTTGACTTTCCAAATCAAGCCCTTTATTCTTATTTTTATCATTATTTTTACCATTATCATTATTTTTATCATTATCATTATTCTTTTCATTATCATTATTCTCTTCGCTGCCGTTATCATTATCATTATCACCAAAGAAAAGGTTTTCTTTACTTCTAAATAAGGCATATTTAATAAACGATCGGTATCATCTTTCTTATGGACATCAGGCGAATTACGTAAAAAATATCGTTGAACTAATCCCCAAGATTTATATTTTCCTCGACCAAATAATATTATCCATAGTGCTATGGCGTAGGTAAGATTGTACTAATTGAATCAAGAATTGTGAATTGTGGTTTTTCAACGTATTTTAAAGCCTATAAATAGCAAGAGACAAATAATTAACGATATAATAAGTAAAATAAATCATAATATAATAATTAAAGATAATATACCATATAAGTATCAGGTGAATAAAGAAACCTTGCAGCAATAGAACCATTCTCAAAAGTCATAGGATCATAATGTTGCTTATTAACAGTAAAATACAAATATTCCTTGTTATTTACATCAAATATTTCTGTTAAAGTAAAAGTATAAGTGTTTATTGAAAGGATTCCAGCAGTAAATGGTTGTCACTGTTCAACATCATCAAGTAATCCAAATATCAATCCATTATCAACTTTTGATTGATTTCCATCAACCAATGCCACTATAATAAGTTGATCAACAATTCCTGGTAGAGTTATTAAAATAAAAACATGGCCAAATTCCTGTCATTAAAGTCCAATCTCCCGTAGTTAATTCATAAGTATCGGCTTTACTTATATATGAGTCGGGAATTAGAGTAACTCTATCAGTATCAGTTATTTCCCATTCAAACTACTCAAAATAGAAAATCCAGTTCGGCTTGTATTACCCCAAATACTATAAACACTCTATTATCTAATTAATAACAAGAATAGTATTCCAATAAAAATTAAAATTCCCATAAAACGTAATAAGAATTCTCAACGATTTTATATTCTAAATTTTTTTAGCTAGATGCATGATTATGATATCTTCAAAAAAAAAAAAATCAAACTAAAAAATTATACTAGTGAATAATATCAGCAAATTTACCACTTTGGAACTTGGAAAAACTGGCAATACTGTATATAGATTAGACTTCATTTTATCAAGCGTAAAGATAACAAATTATTTAACATCAATAACTAAATACTCGGAACGAGATTATAAAAATTCACCGAATTAATATTAAGAGTTATATTATTTAGTTGGGTCACTAATAATTTATTGTTATTTTTACTTCTTCAAATTCATTGAATTAAATTATAAGTGTATTAATTAATATTACATAATATTACATATAATAATCATGTAGTGAATGGGTATTTATATATATGATAGATAATAATACTATTTAAGTCAATTTTTATCTCACGATCACCAATCAATATAAATTAATAGGCGAATAAATTAATAATATAAATGATAAATATGACAAATTAATATCTAAACTTCTACTATTAAAAACATCAATGTGAAATTATCATGAGCGTTAGGTTCCGTGTGATAAATCAGATATACTATGGCATCCCCGTGGTATATCTACTTAACGTATATTGTATAAATAGACTTATAAATGTCACATAAACTACTTTATAAAAAAATCTGCTAATAGTTAATACTTTACTTTCTCCAAATTATCAAACTATATTCTCATTTTTTTTCGATTTTTTAAGATCTGAATCATATAATTTAAATCCAGAAAGATAATGTTTTTTTATAGTTTTTTCCAAGATTAAAAGTTTTTCATCGACTATTTTATTAATTTTCTTGGTAACTTCTTCATCCGTAAGTTTCGTAAGTCTTCCACCGCTTCCATCATCAATATGTTCAAATGTTTCATCAATTTGACTTTCCAAATCATTCTCATTTTCACCATTATTCTTATCATCATTATCACCATCATCATTCTTATCATCATCGCGATTAATATCACCTTTATTACGGGCATTAGGTGTATTACGTAAAATAAATCGTTGAATTATTCCCCAAGATTTATATCTTCCTCTACCAAATAATATTACCCATAATGCTAAGGCTAATGTCAAATCTCCACCTGCTT